CAATGGCCAAGAAGTTGTCGAATAAATACGCTATCAAAGAGCAGAATACAAAATAGTACCCAGTGGCAATATCGGTGTCAATTGATTCATATCGTCTAGTATATCAGTCTCGTTGACAAATGACCATGACTTATGATTTGAGCCGATGAATTCTGTGTATCTGATTGCCATTGGGAAACGAACTCAATCACTTAACCATCGATGTTTGTTTATCAATTTTGTAATAGGTTAGTGCGCTTAAGATCCAATATGGATGTTTAAAACGTGATCGTTCAGAAATACCATTCGAATCAGTGTTGATAAAGACTGAACACTGATATCACTAATTTCTTTGAAATGTCCCCATTATGTATACAGGGTGTCCCATAAATATTCGCCAGATTCATGGATTTTTATTATTCAATTGGTCGTTTTAACTTTTCCAAGCGAATTCAACATAATGGCGTCGAATGATGAACTGCATTCAACAAACATGGCGATGGTATTATTCCATTCAGAACACTTTACAATGAAACGGTTCTATAATGTAGTCATATATGCATCATTCGAGGCATCATTAAAATAAATGGGTACTGTTTTCATACGAGGATCAAGACTTATAGAATAATTTTATAATTGAGGAAAAAGAACTCAAATTGATCCTTCAATAGAACTATTTAAATGACTTTCATGCAACCATATTTCAGCGCTGATATTGAATGTTATAAGAATAACTATTCAAAAGTGATCAATTATTGCATAATTCGTTGTTAAATACAAGTGTTTTAATACTCTTCAATAAGCGATCGATACAATTTTTCCATAATATGAGTTGTGCGAGTATACGGTTTTACAATAATATTATAGAAACATATTTTTATAAAACGAAATAGTTTTATTAAATGCATTAAAGAATGAGGCAGTTCTTCAAATATTGACACAAACAGAGTCTGTTTCAATGATTTTATACTCTTGTTGTTGACTGTCAACGCTGTCAACCAATGAATTATTAGAAAAACCTGCGTTTGTTTTTGAATTATGCAGTCTGCATTCAAAACAAAACAAAGCCAATAGAGCATTCATAAACGGAAAAATGGAATGTGAATATGAACATATGATGAATCGTATCGACAAAATATAGATTTATTATATTGTTAGCTATTTTTTCTACGCTGCTGGATGTCTGAATCCCAGGTACAATAAACACAAAAACCGATTAGATCACAAGGCAACCATGATCTAGATTCCTCTTACGTATGTAAATATTTTGTTTCCAGTTTTCATCAAAACGTTATTTATATGCTGAGTGGAGCTCAATTTTATCACTCTGACACCATCAAGCTATTTAGACAAGAAATGTTATCAGAAAACTGATTAATTAAAGTGAAACGTGACGTTGAATTCCGCAAAAACAACTGGTTGTGGATTTCAAATGTTGCTTCTGATATATACCAAACTACTTCATGCAATTTTGGTTGTCTATGGACCGATTGGGTATTGATATAAGAACTTGAGAACTATAAACAAATCTGTATTTTTGTCCAAAACTCTTTAGTTGCTTCACAACACATTATGGAAGAGACCACTGATTTTTTAAAACGACATTATCGTGTACTCTATACTAAAATACTACCAGCGAATTAATTTTGAATTTTGTCATTCATGCTAAGACGATGAAAACAATAAATTAGAATATATCCATTTCAAAGCACACAATTCCTGCGCCATTTGAAATTTTGTCAATTCATTGGTGTGACTGGTGCGACGTCTTAGTCCCAACACGCCTATTGTCCTTGAACTGACCAATCACACTGCAATATTGCAGAATGACGAGGTATCAGAGAGAGATAGCTACAGGTTGGGACTAATACGTCACGGCTCCACCATCATATTTGGCTGTTTGAAATATCGAATGAAATATGCTGATTTCAAAACGATTTAGATTCGATTCCCTTCAACTTCAACTCATAATATTGATTGTACATCAAACGTAACTTATGATTCGTCGATTAAAAGAGGTTTGCACGGATTTCTTCTCTCAGTGGTCTTCCCCATTATCGAAAACTTTGCTCTCTGAAGACTATCTGGGTCTCTTAGGGATGCAACTGTGGTCTTCTTCTTCTTCTTCTCTGCATAGGTGGGCGGGTGCGTAGACCCCTGCACTCAGGCCTCTTCAGTCGGGCCCATTGTGCGCCCACTTGTCCTGTGAATCAGCTGGGCATGCCGATTTCTGTGACGAAATTCAGCAGCTTCCTCAGCTGAGTCGCTTTCACATCCTTTGGGTGCAGTACAATGCTCCCAAAGGCAGCTTTCCTCTGATGCACCAGCGCGGGGCATTCAGTGAGTATGTGTGATATTGTGTCATCATCCTCCAAGCACCATCTGCAGATGGGATCATCTTTGATCCCTATGAGTTCTAGGTGCCTGTTGAGGTGGTTGTGCCCAGTTAAGAGCCCAACTACCATCTTGAGATCCCTTCTATCAAGTGACAGGATCTCTCTCGTGAGCCTTTTTTGAAGGTCATAATATTTTGAATTAGCTCATCTTTGGTTTGAGGTTTATTTGAATACACTAGACTTTTCATGGGTCCCCAAAGATAATAGTGGTCAAGTGGCCTAGGTTGCCAAAGAAAATTGCTCATAACACCTCAACTATTGAGGTTTAGACAAAAATGTATAAAACACTTTTAACTCAGAATCGCTGAGTGGACTATTTTTTTTCATTTCTAAAATAGAATCATCACTCAAATACCTTACGATTTCATATTTTTTCAGAATTTTTTGGTCGAATTTAGGGAGCCTAAATCATCAATTATGCCACGGTAATTTTCAAACAGCTAGAAATTCGTAAGTAGGGGCAGACCATCGCACCGTTGCCATATGTTGAAGTACGATTGGGAAACAATTGTCTCAAAATGTTTCTTTATGTGTTGTGGTTCATTGCTTATAATACATTTGTGTAAATAATAATAATATTAATTTACACTAGAGGACATTTGAACCGGTAAACGCTCGGGTAATAATGGCAACACGGCGCACGAATTGAGGGCGTGGTCTTGTCAGTTCTCAGCATTCAGCACACTGTTGCCAAGTCTCCAACATTCACATGATATTTTATTATGGAGTATAAGAAATATTTCTACATGCTGGTTGCTCGAAAAAGTTGAGAATGAACTATAATATCATCTCGAATATCATGGATTTTTCCAATTATGTTTCATTCCACTACAGATCTTTTTGATAATTTGATTATAATTGGTGACTTGGCAACCTTGCTTCATGAGTGGGAATGGAAGATTATCTGACCAATAACGAAACAACAGGTAGACTCATTATTTACATAAAAAAACCGCGAGAAGTGTTGGAAAATTGAATTTAGGTCCCTAACAACACAGTGGAGTAATTGAATGCAGATAATTTATCATTAGTCCACTCGCCCATTGTTGAAGGAATATGCCCTTGAGCAATAACCATCGAGTCACGGGACACCCTGTATAATTCGCGAAAGAATACATCATCGTGTATAATAGGTACCTTCATACGGACCGTATTTTGTATGTCGTACCACCGTTGATTGATATTAAGCGTAATATATCAATCAACGGTACCACTCTATTGGCATCTCGATTGGCATCACGAAAACTGTAAATCATTTAGACACATAAGTTACCTATTTAAGTGAACAATGAAACAATGAGTTCAAATCGAAAATTTCAAAATATACGGAGGAAACCAAAATGTCATTTTCATTATTCGGACCATGATGACGGAATTTATGGATAGAAATGTGAAAAAAAATCCAGATAAGGATAAGACACACATCTGAACTCGGTAAGATAATAACTACTCGAATTCACTTTTAAAAATATAGGTCCGTATTTGGAAAAATAGGCTCGGTCGTGAATATTGAAACTCAAAGCACAGCACACAGAAGCAAATTTGAAACAGAGAAGAGAGTTTCTTGAACATATTTCCATATTCCTAAAAATGGAGGCGTCATAACGCAAAGTACAGAAAACCAGTCATTTTGGTTTTGTCCGTGTGATATTTTGAAAACGGATCGTGATTTTTCCACATTGGAAACACTGTTTCATCGGTCACTAAAATATGATTATTAATTGCCACAAATCTGTCAGTAACCAATCATTGCATACACAGGCTGATTCACGGTGACTGACACATTAGACGTTTCTGGAAAACGCAACTCAGGATTATTCTTAAAAGTTGGTGCCCTGAATAATTAGTTGTGTTCTATCGACCTAAAATATTTTCAGCGTTGCGACGTTGCCACTTATATCGTAAAGTAGCAACAACTTTGATTTTTTTAATGGGACACCCTGTATATCATTCCGTTTCCAAATCCTCCCTGAAGAGCTGATTTCATCGATCTAGCACACTTGGGGTCTAGCGGGATTGATAACAAAGATATAGGGTGTGAAAAATCGAGATTTTTCAGCTTCTAGAAAATCATATTGTTAAACCACCCTGTATTTATTTCAATTAAATATATCAATTGATAGTGAATAAAATGTTGAGATAATGACATGAAAACCATTTTGACCAATCATGAATAGTTTCGACACAAAAAATTACTAAAAATGAAAAATCTCGATTTTTCACATCCTATAGCTCTGTAATTATTACTGCTAGACCCCAAGTGTTATAGGTCAATGAAATCAGCTCTTCAGGGAGAATCTGGAAATGGAATGGTATACAGAGTGTCCCGGTGACAAAATCAAAGTTGTTGCTACTTGTCAATATAAGCGGCAACGTCGCAACGCTGAGAATATTTTAGGTCGATAGAACACAACTAATTATTCAGGGCACCAACTTTTCTGAATAATCCTGAGTTGCGTTCTCCCAGAAAAGTCTAATGGGCCATCAACCGTGAATCAGCCTGTATATACCTACCCAATATTGAGAAATAACTAAGAATCACCAGAATAAGCCTCAAATATCGGATCACATATTTTTTCGTGTTCTGTTGATTTTCTAATCAAAACAATGATTTTTTTAACTCACCGAAAAATTCATCGTCGATCATTTCATCTTGAATAAGTGATTCCATGTCTTCATTGCTGCTTTGTACTATCACTTCATCGCACATAACTTAGATAGAAACCGAGATACAAACATGTACAAACCAGTACAAACTATTTCACCACTACCACTAAATTAACACTACATTCTTCGTTACATTATAATGTTCAGATGTTCAATTTCGTACAGACCTATATTGGAGCATTCGGAGCAATGCTTCAATCAACACGGCCACATGTATCTTGTAATTATTATTGTTTTGTTTCAGTAGTAGGCAGGTAAACACTGTGAAATTAAGGAAGTTGGAATCTGGTGTTTACAGTCAGCCAAATCAGAAATAATTATTATTCGTCATGTTTACATTGATAATTCTTTTACGTCCCCATAGTTTTTGAATATAAAATAATATACCTACCCACCCACCTATAGTCATATATCTGAAATATTATTTGAGATTGAATAGTTTTTCCGAGAGTTTTTCTATTCTTGATATGTGCCTTCAGTGACCTCTATTCCTACTATATTCGATGTGTATAAGTTTTGTAGAGATATACACATTCGTATACAGGCTGTGGTGAAATAACCTATACAAGAGAAAATGAAGAATATGTACGTATGCAAGCTTCTATTTTAGGTCAAAATTGAAGAAAACTATTTTTTAGGCACCTCTTCAGAAATCGTCTGTGCTAGTAGTGTGAAAAATAGTCCCTACCTATATGATATATATATAAATAAATCGCGAACGATTCTCAACTCGCTTGCTTATACAAATGTTGAAAAACAACTGAAAACCGGCGAGATACAGGGTGAACAACAAATATAATGCAATTTCCTAGGGTTCCATTTGGATATGAAATATTCCCTACTGGATTCCGTATTAGTAGTTGTATGAAATTAATGAGGAATACAGGGTCATTCCAATTTCAGAAATGAATATGTACATGCAGTCAATCGCCCATATACTTGGGACAATAATTTTCAACTTCAACGTTAACAACTTTGTTATAAATATAATGAAAGTTGAGTGGTTTCATATACATATATAGTTTTTATACGCTTTTATATATTCGACCACTTGAAAAAAAAAACAAAATAGTAACCACAGAAAAAAAGATAAACCTTGCTGTCCCGAGTTGGGCTGATAGTTCCCACCATGGTACAATCATTTATTCTACTGTTCGTCCTTTAGGAGTCTGAGTTGAACAGTGGACTGCGCATTTTGAAAAATATTTAATATTTTGATTATGTCTGATAAAATAATGATGGGGACAGCTATCCCAAGTGAGGTCCCAAGTTAGGATCATATAACGTGTTTTCTGACTTTTCTTCAGCTTTTTATTTCGGTCGTCGTGGGAGGTCCAACAAAAAGTAACAATTTCGTCCCTTTATAGGGTGATGTACCAAGTATGGGCAATTGATTGTACGTATTCAACATTAAATGGTTTTATCGTTTATACATCGGTTCATAGAATTACGGTAGATCAACACAAAATGTTTAGTAGAATAATTAATTACTAGCTAAAATCCAGCTGGTAAATTTTTGAGCAAAATTCAATATTTCCTAAACTATGAGGGTTTGCAATTCAATACTTATTACTTATTATTAATGCTAATCCTTTGAATCGAACCAAATCATAAATAAAAGTTTTGATTCGCATTCGAGTAATTTGGAATTGTCAGTATTAAATGTTCACTTTTAAAAAAGCGATGTATAGATAGATCGATATCATTCGGATTATTTTAGCAAAATAGTCCAGCCAACAGCAAATTTTGTTCCGTATCAATAGAAGAACATGAAATGTCTTTCTTCGTTTACAATCGAATACAATATTCACTGTATCACATCAAATTCCAACATCCAAAACCACAAAATGTATTCGAAACACCAAACACTTTTTAACAAACAAGCAACGAACCATTTTTTTTTCTTCTCAAAAAGTTGTGGGCATTGAACCCCCCGAATCACGTATTTTTTTCTCGATTTTTTTCGATTTCTCGCAACATGCCGCGATACCAACAACCAACAAGTGAATGACGCACGTTGGTGCTCGCGGATCCAGCAAGCTATGGAATCGGATCTAAAACAAACGCGAACCAGATAAGATATACCGTTGGATTGTTGGATGGTTCGACGGCTGCCATAAAGAGAGAGATACCGTGATTATTTTTTTTTTCTGTCGAACGTAGGCATACTACATACTACCATACTACTTTCGCCTTCATATCGCCTTGGCAGGCATACCTAGTACCCTTGATTATACTAGCATTGTACCTAGTCAACAATCTTGCCGAAATATTTTTAATAGCCTTAAAATTTTAACTGTCATTGGTGTTTTTGTATTTGAATTATGTGTTTATGTATTTTTAAACGAAGAAAAATTCTTGAAAAGGAATATTCTCACATAAATTATGAACATACAGATATGGATATATATTTATATAAAGCAATACATTGAGAATTCGCATTCTCTATGTGATGAGAATGTCAACTCTTTCTCAATTTATTCAATAGAAAACAACTACTTTCCTGGCTATATGCCACGACGAACATTGAATTATATCTATTGAACACACACGATAAGAGTTTGAAAATAAAATATAAAATCTTCTGAAATTGAGAATTTGCATTCTCCTTCAGACAAAAATATGCATATGCAACATACATCCATACATTAAAAGTTAAATAAAAGCTTTCAATAATAATTCAGTTAATAAAATTAAAACTTAGATACGAAACAAATAAATATGAAGAAATGCAAAACTTTGTTAGGTTAACTTTCATCTTGCAAGAGTTTATTGAAAAATTCGTCGCATTTCCAAAGTATACTATAAGACATCTTGACATAGGTATCTGGTTTACAGTCACAAAAGTTGTAGTATGGGTATTCAACTATAATACTTCGGAAGACAGGCTCTAGATTGCTTTTCTGTCCCAAATTGAATCTATGATATTTTACTGACTGAGAAGGTCTATACTGATACTTGCAATTGGCAAACCCAAGAATTTCGCTTGGATGAATTTCATAATATCATATATCCGGGAAAATATACTCCGCATTCTGATAATAGAATCATGTATCGTTTTATTTTCAAGATGAGAAAGGATAGTCAACAAGGAAATAATAATACAGAGATGCGACGTAAGGTACTGAAGTTGAGCTTTTTATTTCGGAGGAAAGAAACAAATATTTTATAAAAAATTAAAAAAACAAGCCCTTTGAAAAAGAACACCTGGTTAAAATACTTTCAATAACTCTCTTTTTTTTTAATCTGTTGGAACGGACGAAAGGAAATTCCTATAATGTTCGTGGAACATCGTGCGTACCTAGGGAGGATAGGGAAATGAGATAGGTGCTTTTTCAACTTTTGGAATACTTCCATTGGCGAAGAATTTCAAAGCTTCGCCGTTCCATAGACGAACGAGTTTTGGTAGAGTTTAGTTCGACATATTCCAGGGTTAACAAAGGAACGATGTGCTGACGGGGTCTGTCGAGTTCGTCTGACTGGTGTTTATAGTGATGGAATTATAGCAGAGATTTCTAAGGAACATTTCCCGTGGAAGTATCTATAGAAAACTGACTTTTCGACGATGTCCTAATGAGTTCAAGGAGTTAGTGAGTGTGGCATCTCCCACCAGGAGAATGGCTCTTCTCTGGATGGAATCTAAGAGCATCAGCGCATGGTTGGGTGCTGAACCCCATACATGAGAACATTATTCTGAAACTGACCGTATATATGCTCTGTAGATCATGAGAAGCTGTTGAGGTCTGAAGTAGATTTTCGCACGGACCGAGAACTATATTATATACTCACGAATAATTGTTGGAAATAATTATTTATAATCTTGTATTTGAAAATAGTTTGATGAGGTATTTGAATGTATCTGAAATATTTAAATATGCACTCCCAGAAGTAGTTTAATATTTTAGGAGTATTTGAATATTTGTTGAGTATTCAAATACTTCTGAAGTATTTGAATACACCCGGACAGTATTTAAATACTCATAGACATTAATTAAATACTCCAGGAATAAGTAGTTTCTCAGCTATGATCAATGATTGATAGTTTTCCGTAATATAGGGACTATTGACTAACATTTCTAAAATCGGCATACGGTTTTCCTTCTATATCCCGTAATGAACACATAATAAAAAACAGCGAATGAAATTCGATATTTTATTCCATAATACAATAATGAACAATGTTTGAGGTCCATTTGCTTCGGCGATAAATTTTGTTGGTTATATCTATGTATTTATTTGATTTGCATCTTTTCCTCAGAATCCGCATCGATCGGAATGCGCTTCCAATTTAACTTTATAGTTTCGCATAGGAAATCGAAAACATGATTGCGAATCAGGGATCTACGTTTTAACTTCAATTTCTACGCATTTCCGACATTCTTCGATTTCCCACTACATTTCCCTATGCAGAATTTTGTTCACATAGTATATGAGAATATTCTATAATAAAAAAAGTAGGGATGCGATGGAAAAAAGTGTTCATAGCATTAGCAATCAATGTCCAATAGTAGATTGTTTTATTATGATCAAAAGTGACACTTTGCTTGACAATCAAATTCTGCATTTGCGAGCCGAGCGAAAGCAAAATTTGCGAGTCAAACAAAGTCACTTTTGATCCAAATGAAACATGCTATTTTTTCTACAACCGAAAGAATTGACTCAAAGACTCAAATAAATATGTGAAGTAACCACCGATGCCGTGCCATATTTATATGAAATTCAACAAATAATCCATGTGGTGAGAATATTCTACCTGCATTAACAGATCAGGTTTATTCAATTTTCAAGGATTTTCAAATTGTAGTTTCAATATAAATACAACCACAGAGTGACATATTTGTGTATGGACCAGGTCCTCTAATAGCAAATACCGCGCCAGTGCCAGGTACCAGGTATAGGAAAAAGACGTGGAAAATGTTTGTTTATTGAGCATATCAACAATAATTATAGCAATTATTTATTTCTCTCCATACTCCACTGTTTGGCTCGATAATCAAATGAAAGTAAACAATATGTTTGTTTGAGACAAAAAACTATTGCTGGCCGTGATTATTCAAAAACAATGTATCCATCCCGAGAATAGCGAATGAAATACAGATCAAGCAAGTATGTGAATCTTGAAGGCTTTCCGGATCAAAACAAAATTACTTCACTGTAATATGGTGTATTTATATCTCAAGCATGGTTATGAAATGCCAAATCTACCGAAATCGGAAACAATACATACGACGTCCCAACCCAAATAACCAACCGTAATAACAATGTTTATTCTTGATGACCTCTAGTACATCCTTTTTAGTTCCTAGGAGCTAAATTTCAACTTTAGCTCCTAGGAACTGAAGTGTTGCCTAGCAACATACATATGTTTGTGTCAGTAATTGTACAAGTATTATTTTGTTGTACATACATGCATAAATGATCTATTTTTATTTGTTTAGGGACAATAATATATCTTTTCGTTTTCATGATTTTTAACGATTTCAAATAATTGAAAGATCTCTTGAGGACTTCAATATACGTATCGAAACACACAAAAAACACAAAAATATACAAATAGAGAAACCTATATGTTTCAGCAACAATGTGACTATCTACAATAAACCAGAAAATGTATTGTATATGTATTCTAAACTTATCTATACATTTTCGGATATTTCAGGAAAATCGTGAATAGATTGATATAAGAGTATCTCAATACATGTGGGCTTACCTTTGAATGGGAAAAATGGCATGCTTGTTTTTTTGCTGCGCTTCGAATCTGAAACAAAAAAATATTTTCATGATCTATTTACATACAATCAAAAACTTCAGAAACTCCATTATAGAAATAAGATTCTTCAGAATTCCATGAAAAATATTAACCATATTCATTTATGTATTGAGATATTTTGAATAAATCGCTCATCTCGCTCGCGTTCATTTGAATCATACATAAGATACGAGCATATTATTATCTAATACCTTCTTCCCGGTCCCATCTCTATTCCACTGACACATTCGAAATACGAAGACAGCTGCCTTGGTTTGTTCGCTTGCTGTCTTGCTGAATCCCGTTAAGGAGCCAGAGCCTGCGTTTTTAGTTGGCTGATTTTTTCGTCGAACAAGTATGTTCGAACAAAATGACGCAGAAACCGAAGTGTGTGGTATTTGGCTAGCGAAAACGACCATTTTGCAACCACAAACTTCGGTTTTGCGTAATTTTGTTGGATCTGTTCGTCGAACAAAACAGCCTACCAACAACGCACTGTACTTTTTTCTAACTTTATCGTAAAATGAAGAAACAGTATTTTGATATTGAAAAATTGTACACTTGAGGCACTCAAAATAATTATTATGTTTTTTGACAGATGTAGGAAAATATTTTTCGTACATTGTCTTCTTCTCATCATCAGTGACTAAAATTGACACTGGTGTTTGGCGACAAAACTTTGTTCAAGACTGAAAATGAAATGATCTTTGTCAAACGAAGCCATATGTGAATTTAAGAAGAATCATTTCTGTACTTTCTTTAGATAGAAATAAGAATTTCATTTTCAAGTGTTGATATGACAGAAAAACTGATATTTATTATCCCTTATCGAAGGGGTATATCTTCCTTATTGACCTATCAGACCAAAAAATATCGGTTCGTCAGTGGAAACAAACACACACCAGACCTCGGCAGTCTGGATAAGTAGGGTTTTCACGTGAAAACGGCAGACCAGCGAGAAAATCTGAGGGAAAATCGATTAGAAAAAGTTATAACTCAATCGTGGTAGACGGGTGGGTAAATAAAACACCTGTTGACGGTGCAATTCCGTCCCGTTTTTCATCGTGAGAGCTCGCACAACTGTTGCCTATCTAGTTTGGCGAAAATTCGTCTGGAAAATGTCGCAGATGACTCATATTTATCTTGATGGAAATTGGATGACTAGATAAGAAGAAATGGAAAACATTCATATCTGTTGTTGTCACTGTCTAGACTGATAGTAGTCATATCGCAGCAAGCTTAAAATGTTCAGTTGCTCGCCTGAAAACGCTTCTGCTCCATCCGCAGGAATCCCAAAGCTGTCGTTCATGACTTTGACATGGTATCGAAATTAACCTAGAATCTATTTTGTTCATAG